TAATGCATATTATTCATGTTTAACAAACACATTTTTGGTGGATCAACACCTCTTTTAAATGATGCAAATGATGAAAATAAAAAAAAGAGAACAAAAAATAAATAAATAAAAGAGTTAGTGAGGTAAATCAAAACAATAATAAAAATGAAAGATCCTACCCATATGATATCTACCCCACATGCTTTAATTCTTACCCGGACATGATCTCTATCCCGCATGCAAATTTCAAACAAATCCTAACCGCATATTTGTCTAGTTCGCATGCTTTGAACATAAAGTAAAACAGGAAATAAAGTAACCTAGGGTTTGGAATGGGGTTTTGGGGTGCGCTCTAATTCCTTGCACTCTCCCGGTTTAGGTTCTAAAAATGGGTACCCGAGTTCTCCTTGCTGGTGCCCCCTTGGGCTTGCTAGACCCTTAGTCCTAAACCCATCACAGGCTTGTGTGGACTAAGTTAAACTCGAGAGGATACATTCCCTTATGCCCATACGGAGAATAAATTCACACGAAGGTATAAGGTATATGAATCCCGAAGGTTACTTGCTAGGCCCATACGGTGAATAAATTCACACGAATGTGTCACTTTCACCCCCACTTAAAATGGGTTCAGAGCTCGGGTATAGAGCCAAAGAAGAAAGTTTTTCAAATATAAAATCATTGAAAGAAAACATCAGTACAACTATTTATTTGAAAAATAATCAAAGGTAAATAATTGGAATCGAATAAATAAATTTAAATTTACCATTTTTACATAAAAAGACAATCGAAAATTAATTTTGGCCTGACTCACTTACATGTCCCCAACGGAGTCGCTAAGCTGTCGGAACCGTCTTTCGGTTGGGCCCGGAATTGGGCTTCGACTTGGATTAAACAAATTGGAGTCGCCATCGATAATTTATTTTAAGGATAAAACTGGTTGATTGGATACCTCGATTTTTTACCTGATCTGCGTTTGACTAGAAATATGTCGGGTTCGGGAGTCGGTTACGGTCGAGGAAGGATTAGCACCCTTGAACCGCCCTTTCGGTACCAATTATTTTTTCGGTTGTCTTTAACTGCAAAAATTGAAAAATTTATATCAAAATTTAAAAATCCAATTTGAATTGTTTACCTTTGATTGATTGTAATTCTTAAAAAAAAAGGTCGAAAATGTTAGAAAAAAGAATAAATAAATAAATATTTAAATAAATCAAATGAAAAAACATAAGAATGAAAATAAATAATAATAATAAATCAAAAGAAAGAAAGAATAAATAAATAAATAAATAAATCAAAAGGGAATATAAAATAATAATATATTAAATAAATCAAAAGAAAAAATGTAAAAAAATAATTAAAAATTAAAAAATTAAAAATGATAAAATAAATCAAAAGGGAAAAAAGATAAAGAATAAATAAACAAAGAAAAACAAAGAAAAAATCAAAGAAAAAATAAATAAAAAAACATAATAAATAAATCAAAGAGGAAAAAAATAAAGGACCAAAATAAATTACACAGAAACATGGAGGATTTAAATCTAATTAAACCTAAAATATTCAATATTGAAACAGTGACCAAAGTGCATACAAACAATATTTGAAACACGAAATGAAAATAATACATTATTTAGTGACCAAATGACAATGTTACAAAGATTAGGGCTTAAACTCATGATTTTCGCCACTCCAAAAGTTGAAAACAAAACACGCATAGTTGTTTATAAAAGGAAGGACCAAGCATGGAATTTTCCCTTTTTCTTTTATGCGTAGATTCCTCACTTTTAAAACATTGTCGTTTTGTTCATTTAACACAAAATAGGGTTTTAGTTCTACGTTTTACCTCTTTATTTCTTTGTCCCGCCCACTTATAAAACAGAGAAAATGTTCTCTGGTAAAACCTATCTCTTGGGATCTTCTTAGGTTCATCATCGGGAACAGGGTAAGGAAACTTGAACCCCGTTTATCTTTTTTACACTAGATCTCCTCTGTTCGAATAGCACTCCAATTTTTTCTCTTGATGGTTTCTTTTTGTTGTTCGAATCTGTTTGGGTTCTCCTCTTTTTCCTTGCTCTCGTTGTTTCTCTTTCGACCTTGTTATTTTCCTCGTTCTTCTCCCTCTTTGATTTTTCTGTATATTTCCTCTTTTGTATTTATCGTCCCTCCTGTCTGTGTTTAATTATATGTAAATTTATAGCCTAGGAACAAGCTATTTTTAGATCGAAAGACTCCTAATGGGACTCTAACACCTTTCTTGGTTGTTGCTTATTTCTCGTTTGGCTTTGGAGTTGCATCGCCGGAAAAACCGGGGTTGACTGGGAGGTGGGGCGAGAGGTCTTCGACGGGTTGTTACAGCATGAGGAAGGCTGGTGAGATGGGGTGTTAGGCCTGACACAAGGGAAAAAATTGTTTGTAAAAAATATTATTAAATAATATAATAATATGATATATGTATTATAAATAATATAATATACTCATAAAAAAAATATGGACGAGAATGAGTGTTTACAATTATTATATTAATTTTATTATCTTTCACGTTAATTTTATATTTAAAAATTAATTGTCAAATTATACTATTTCACACTTGGGTGACCTACATAAAAGTATATTACAATCAAGGGACTATCTGTATAATTTACTCTATAAATAAATTAATTAGAAGTATCATCCATCTTATTGCCTATTAGACAGTATTGTTGAATTTTAGAATTGTTACCATAAACTCAAACGCTACTTAATATTAGATGCCTAAAAGAAGATAACGAAAAGAAGAGAACTACATATAGACTTGTTTTTAAATTTTGTCTATAACCAACTTCTAAACAAGGATTTACTTTGCATATTTAACTTTGATTATGTGTTATAAACAACAAACTAAAACAGACAAAAAATAACATCATTCTACTTCTATCTATATTATATTGCTTGTTTAAAACACTAAATATTAATAGAAAGACATTGAAACGAAAACAACCGCCACGAAATTTCTGGAAAAAAATCATCCCATTTCTGTCTCATTTAATACAGAGATACATCATTTTCAAGAATAAATAAATCATCAATAGGTAATATCTTTAACTTTCTTTTGTTGCATCAAGCAACCTCAATAATTAAGGGATTTATTATTATTATTTGAGGTTTCAAATTCGAGTACCACATACTCAGGATATAAGCGTTCATTGTCAAATGATTGAGAATCTTTAAACATATACTTATCTTATATTCATCCTAGATTAATAAAATAAAATTAAAAAAACTTCATTTTGTGATGTTAAATTAAACCAGTGTCCATCCATTTATTTAATTAATATGATTATTAGTTCCTAAGGTCGTCAAACTTTTGAAAGACATTAAGTGACTTAATCTTTTTAGTATATTTTAGATTAAACCTAATTAATAATATCTATATTCCTACATATGTAAAAAAGGCAGATTTTTAACCCTTTTAACCTCTATTACCATAATAAAATATTAATTCTCAATAAATAAAATGTTTTTTATTTGAATATACCGTTTTCAAATATTAAATACTAACATAATATTTATCTTTAGTTATTTATTAAAATATCTCTCTTTAATTAAAATTTGAGAAATTAAACATATTTTGCATACATGACATCCAAAATTGACAAAACATGTTTTTATTGAACTTTAAGCATTATAACATCAAATTGACCTTGTATCAATAATTAAAATGAAACAAATAAATAATAATGAAACAAAAAATTAATCAAAATTTGTTTGATAAGAAAATGTGTTAAAACCAAATCATAATAAATATGAAAACAAACCAAAATCTAATCATATCAAATCATCAATAATAAAATTACTAGATGCGGAAGCGTAGTTGAATTAATCAATACGTTGAAATCATTTAGTATATATTTGGTTGTGATCTTCTATGAAAATAGAATTCTATTGAGCATAAATTCTCTGACGGCTGGGGATAAGAGTAATATGAGATGATCTATTTATTAAGGATCATAACCCATTTATATAGTTGATTTAAGAATAAATTATTGTCTGTAATTATAACTCTACCCCTAATTGAATTAAAAATATAACTTTAATAGTATCTACACTTTTATTTTTACGAACTTCTAATACTTAATGACTTTATAACATAACAGCTCACTTAATTTAAGTCATATTTTATGATAACGATATACATTAAAAATATGTGCCCATAATTATAGATTTTAATCCAATAAAATGATATGATATATGTCAAAGGCACAACACGAGTTGGATGACAATAAAAACACACATGTATGAGTTATGTCTTCAATCATTAAATAAGTGTATGTTTAAAAGATTATATTTAAAATCTGAGGAAAAAAAAACACTATCTGATTAATATGAAATTTACACTACTAAATCTTACATACAGTTTTCAAATATTTAAATATACTCTTTTAACATACACTCATTGAAATAAATGGACGCATGAATTTATATTAGAGGTGTGAACTTAAAATTTTATATTAAAAATTTTTTGAATATAAAATTAAATTATTAGCAGTAAATACAAAGAAAATTCCTAAAATATTTGAGAAATTGACATTTACAAGAGTGCGGCTTAAAATATATAAGTTTTAAGGGCTAAAAATATTATTATATTTTTTTGAATAATCTAATATGATTACAAGGTATTAACAATATACATAAACTCAAAATTTTAAAAGACAACAACACTATTTTTAATAGTGAGACGTTCAATAAATTTTCTAATTAGGTAATTTTGGGTGTAGTTTACCCATTTATTTAAAATGAGGCGGCTTTGTACTTTTTTGATACAAATGGAAAATGAAAGCTAGGAAGAAAAGAACCCTGCTCAACGTGCTTAAATACAAACAATATTCCATAGCTATTTTTTACGGGTTTTCTGCGTAGTCGTGTCGTGTCGTGTGCCTCGTTTCTGTGCATAACGTGTTTAACGTTGCTTTCAAAACAACTGTAGCCACCACCCCCTTATATATAAAATCCCTTCTTCTTCAACATCTCCCACTCCATCTTATCATTTTCTTCTTCTCTTTGAATATTCTATTTCTTCATATTTGCCAAAACCACACCTTTTTCCTCTCTCAGTCTCTTTGTTTGAAACAACAGCTTCATATTTTTAAATCAACATGAGACGAAACTGCAACTTGGAACTTCTCCTTCTTCCTTCTACTTGTCCCGGCGACAGCCAACTCATGATGAATTTTTTTCCTGATCAAAGGGTGGAAGAAAGCAACCAAAGCGCGGGAAACCAGCAGCAACAGCTAACAATTTTTTACAATGGAAGAGTTTGCGTTTGTGATGTTACAGAGCTTCAGGTTAGGGTTGATTTTACTTGAGAAACTTTATACGACATTCATGCATTAGAATTGAATGAATAGGTCATTTCGTATTCATTTATTCCAAATTTTTACATTTTTTTAGATCTAAACCAATATGCCGGGTTTGTTTTGTTGATAAAAATCTGCTCATGAATTGCAGGCAAGAGCCATTCTAATGCTTGCAATCCGGGAAAGGGATGAAACAATAAAAACTACGACCGGATTGGAACCGGCGACGCCGACTTTAAAATCTCCGGTAAATAGCCCGAGCACGGCGCTTTCCATGAAGAGATCGCTGCAACGGTTCCTCCAAAAGCGACAGACGCGAATCCAAGCTGCCTCTCCTTATCATTATCATAAATAGATCATCATCAATGCTTGAAATTTAGTGGAATCTAAAGAGCTAATCTATCTTTCTGTTTAGCAATTAATGCCCATTTTTTTGTTTTTTTTTTATAAATTTATGTATGAATTATGCGACTAGTACGTAGTAGCTTGAAGCCAATATTTTGTTACACTGATTTGTTGTTTCTTTTACCGTATTAGAAACTTAAGGTAAACTTCACCTATTGATCATCAAACTATGATCTCTTTGATATTTTGATCACCAAACTATTACTTTTATGATCTTCGTCAATAATATCATAGTATAATAATAATTAGAACTTTTGAAACTTATATATTTTTATCAAATTGTTCATAGTTTAATATAATTTAATGATTTTAATTTTCAATATTTAATAATTTTATCAGTTTGATTCTTAATTTAATTCTAAATATTTTAATAAATTTCACCATTTGATAGTTTTAATTTTTGAGTGTTAAATTTATTAAATTATCTAGAATTAAATTGTTATGATTTTTTAAAATTAAAATCAAATTAAGGATCAAATTGATATGATTTTCAGATATTGAGGGTTAGATTTATTAAATTATTTTAAATTAGAACCAAATTAATAGTATATATAAATTTTAATAACTAAAACTATTATCACACCATGTTACGTCATATTTTTTCATTAGTTTGGAATTTATTATTAGTCTAATACAAAGTTGATTCTAGAATAATAATAGTAGACTCGGGTTAATGAGAAATAATCAAATACTTTCTATGAAAATATTTTATTTTTAATATTTTCATAAATATTTTTATTTTTCTATATTTATAATTTGATCATTTGATATTTTTTTTATAGTTTTTGTGTTAATAATTGTTAATACTTTAAAGTTTTAATATTTTTAATATATTTTTAAATTTTTCCTTAAAGATTAAGCTATTAAATTCAGCCAAAAAATCAATTATACCCTCAAATTCAAGTAAAAAAATAATCCAATCTTTTTATCATATAATCATTCACTCGTGGGCCGTAAAATAAGGATTATGGACCAACACATAAACACTATTAATTGTCACATAATCACTGTAGTGACTAATGATAGTCAAAGGACAAGATTAATATAATTAAATAAATTTAATATAATTTAAAATAAAGATAAAAAATTAAATTTAAATTTATTAAAAAACAAAATCATTCATAGAGCTTTAAATTATTAATAGCACAATATATAATAGCATGAAAGATAAAAACATGTGAGAGAAAAAATTTATAAAATTGAAATTATAATTTGAGAAATGGGAAAGCTAACAACTTGATGCAAACGCGTATATAATTTATTAAGAGCCGACTCAAAAGAAAGAAAAATACATCACAATCGCAATAACTTCATATATGACCATACACGCAGAAAACAAAAAACACGGGTTCGGCAGGATATTATGTTCCCCACCCCAGCCTTTTAGACGAGACTTATATGAAGCGCTAAGTTTGAGGTGATAGTTAAAGTTTATTTTAATGGAACATTTTCCCATTTGCAACGCGCAATTTCACAGAAACTACAAAGCAACTTACAACCCGGGCACAACACGAGGTTGGTCCCAGTCGGCTACAATGTGGTTTCGAGTGATCTCTTTCAGCGAACGGCAACCACTTAATGCCATGGTCAGCTCAAATTCATCGCGTAACATCTGAAGCACTTTCCTAACACCAGCTTCCCCTTCAGCAGCCAATGAAAACACCACTGGCCTTCCAATCTGAAATAAACAAATCAAACAGAGCCAATGAGGTGTCAAATGCTCTCCAAACAGGACCAATATCTGTTCTTCGTATCTTAAATGTATAAATGCTTACAACTATTCCCGATGCTCCCAGAGCCAATGCCTTGAAGACGTCCATTCCACGCCGGACCCCCTCCATCAAGAAAAACAGGAATTTTGCCTTCGGCAGCTTTAACCACCTGTATGCTAGCTCCAAAAACTTATTAAAACTCCAACAGTACCATTTATATACTTTTTTTTTTTGAAAAATTGCAATTATAGTTTACATTTTTTGCTGTAAATAGTACATCTTTAAAACAAGGAAATGTAAGTTGATTTGATAATTTGGAAAAGAAAAAACAAAAGGCATTTGTACCTCTTCCAAGGCCATAATAGTTGCAGGTACATAATCAAGCAGGTGAGCTCCATGGTTGGATACAATGATACCTGCTGCTCCAGATTCTATGGCTAGCCTTGATGCAATATTAACATTGTAGAGTTTCATGGCAAAAATCAAAAGAAGCTTCATCGAGTTAAGGTCAGCTTGCTTACCATCCTCAGCAGTAAGGACCCTTAAATAGAATAGGCAATGAGGTGATTGTCTGAAGCCATTTTACGTCCTGTTTTATAGAACAGAAACACAATTTGAGTATATATTTCTATTTGATGCAGTACCGGAAACGTATTATATAAAAGAAACATACTTTCCAGCTAAGTGTCCGATCAATTTGGCCAGCAACATAGGAAGCAAGTCCGGAGTCATCGGTCTGCAAGATAATCTCAGGACTAGATGAACAAACAGGTAAAATAAATGGACAACGAAAAACAGAGTGATTAAAGATATATATCTCCTACCTTGTCCATTTTACCAAGGTTCAAACCCTTAAAGTTTTTCAAAGTCAGGAATGGTGGCAAAGTAAATCTGCAAATGAGTCCATGCAAGAAATAATGAAAGCCAAAATAAGACCTTCTTTCTTTTCCCATAACTTCCCGTAGTTAATTAATTTGCTTGCATTTATTGCCTCACCGGTTCTTGATATCAGCTTCCCTGCGGCCAAGTCTTGGAGTGTCCACGGTAAGGGCAATTGCCTTGAAACCAGCTCTTTTGGCTCTTCTCACAAGCTGTGCAACCACATTCCTGTATTTGTATACCTGAACAAATAAGCAATAACCATTGATTACTCAAAGATTCAGACAATCATATCACAATGCTCACAGGCAATACTAAATAGAGAAAAGTGTAAAGATGATTTCTCAGACTCGCATAGAGCTGGAAAAAGCGAATTTCAGGCCCTGTTGAAGCGACCTCCTCAACACTGGCAGTAGCCCATGAGGATAGTGTCTGAAGGGGAAAACATAAAAAAATCTAAAACAACGAACTGCTGAATGTGGAATACAAGCCATGAAAAAATTTGGATTTAAAGTAAAGATGAAGGAATAATTAGAATCAAACCATAATTGTTCCAGCAGCTGAAGCTGCTCGGGCTGTTGCGTATTCTCCTGCATAAAGAAACACGCTTTAACATTAGGACCCGGATAAACTGCTTAGAACAAGTATATAATATATACACACAATCTTATAATATTATTTCAGTTAAATACAACAAACGAGCTCCATAAGTAACATTGATCAATGCTATCTTAAAAGAACATTCAGTATTTAAGTCCAGTTGTTCGACTTCTATGGCAAAGTCCATGAACAACAGTAAGTATCTACAAACAAAATTCATAAATAATTTGCTGTTATATCGCCAAAAGAAACTTAGATTTTATGTCTTATTTAGTGCTTTGAATTCTGTTTCCAAAACACCAAAGTTGCAATGTCAATCATCATGCAGGTAGAAAAATGATGATTGCTATTGCAATTTCATTAACCTTGTGAATAGATTATATAACTTTAGTGTATATATTATAAACTTGTTGTAAGCAGTTAATGGGAAAACATAATATTCATACCGTCAGGGTGAGCCATTTTCTGCATAGCAGTTGGAGGAATCATGATAGGCATTGAAATCTTGAATCCCAAGACAGTAGTGGCCATGTCAATCTTGCTAACATCAATAAGAATGCGGGGCCGAAACCTAGTTTCCAGGAAATTAATGAATTAGCATCACTAAATGAAAAAAAAAACTATCATATATCTTAAACAACAAACAAAGGATTGCCAGAAAACTTCATTATGATTCTTTGCTCATTGCAAGTCCACAAAACGAAAGCTATTTATTTGTAAATTAACAGAACTTACAAAATCCTAGAAAATGCATTTCGATTCTCCTTGAGAGTCCACTGGTCCTCTGCACCTGATGCATAGTAGTCATAAACCATCTTGGGTAACTTTTCCTTTGCAATGGCCTCGTATTCAGACACATTAGTTATCTCCATTTTTTTTCTCCCGAAGTAATCTGAATTCCAGAAAAAATGTCAGAGTGATATCATTCAGAGATATTAAAGGTTAATATCAAGAGTTTAAGGAAACAACAAATTCTTAAGTGAATTAAGACCCAGGATTTAAACCACCTATCGCAATCTAAATCCCTGCACAGACCCAAAAATCCCCGGCACAGAGCAATTAGGAGTCCTTTTTCCCCAACTTCTTCAAATCCACTTAAATCTTCTGTTGAATTAAGAAAGCTCCGCTATATCCAACTCTAAAAGGAATATAGTGAAAACGACCATACGATAGTTACTAAAGCTGATGATTGTATATATAATCCACTTCAATAAAATTAATAGAAAAAGAGTTGCCAAATCTCGATCTTTTAATCATTATTCAACCGATACCAGAAATCAGTTTCAAGCCCATAATTACATAAACTAAGGTTTTAGGAGAAAACTATGATCGAACAGATTAATACTAAAGAAGAAGAGGAATGAAGAGCAAAGAACAGACCTTGGCTACTTCCAACAATGGAGATAGAGAGAGGCAAAGATAACTGAAAAGGATAGGAAATAATAGTGGAGAGAGAATCAACGAAATACAAACAAGTGATATGGTGTGGAGATCGGAAGGGAAACAATTGAATGAATTGATTTCTGAAGGCGAACACTTGAAGCCAAATTCGGGTCACGAAACGTCGGAGCTTGCGTGGAGAGCGTTTTGTTTGATTGTCATGCCCCGATCCCTTATATATTTTATATGTACATACATTCGTAAAGCCATCGCCATTTTCAGAAAATTGATCAACTTTATGGAAATTTTGTTCTTTGGTGTGGGTACTCACACCCAAACATCATCAGCTCCATGCATATTTATCTTCTATCGTCTTTTATTTGTTAATATAATATCTAAATTGCTTAAAAGTTAAAAAATATTTAATTTCTATAATTGTTTTGAATTATAATCAATATATATAGTTCCTTCCACGTAATTGCATTTTCATATTTCCGGTTAGTTCGATTCATCAACATTTTTATGATTAATAATTAATAATATTAATGGTTTGATTAACTAAATGCTTATTTTTAATAAGAATCAAATTTTGTGGTTCGTTGAGTCGAAATCAAATTTCAATCTAAAACTATATTTATATCGTCACGGACACAAACTATTGTTTATGACTAAAATAGGAAGAGAAATTGATGTTTCCTTCTTTATATTTCTCCGCACGATAAGACCACAAAATTCAATTGTGAAGCTTATAGTATTACCCTCGTATACGATTAAGTTATGTGTGCATGCATCCCAAGTATTCCCCATAAACAAGTCAATAAAATTATTGGTGCAGGGGAACAAGATCAAGTTTAGAAAAGAAAAGAAAAAATGCAAACAAAGTGACAAGAAAACCTTATATATATATCACATCTTCGTTGTCAACTTTCATAGTGTCGCGAGTGGAACTACTCGCCTTCTTATGTTGGGATGGTGCCCTTCACGGACATCAAATGCGTGTGATCTTTTGAAGCAACTATTTTTAAAAGTGAACTCCTTAACTTAATTAGTTTGGCCTTTTTTTTTCGTATTGGTTAGAAATAATCATCCAGCTCAGTTGGTAAAGTACAAGGTTCTTAATTTTGGGGTCGTGAAATCGAGTTTCATGGAGGGCATTTCATAATTTGGAGGCCTCCAACGGAAGCTACTCTCAACCTGGTGTTGGGAACAGCCTACTATCTTACCTCCCCTTACCCCATTACATATGGAAATAAGGGTCAGCTAATTTTTTTTTCGTATCGGTGCTAGTTAAATAGATGGTGGTGGCATCGAGTATTTATTAGTTCAACATATTGAGCGTTTCAAGTGAGATTACAAAATATTATGTGATTAATACAAGGGTAAATTACATAAATAATAACTAATATTTGAGTAAGTTTTTGTTTTTTTCTACTGAAATTTCAAAAGTAAAAAATGAGTAATTAATATTATCGATTTATAATAAATAGATCACTTGTCGTTAACAGTCGTTAGTGCAATAACGAAATGATGACTTAACATGTTTGACTATGCATGACACCCTTTGACCGACAGTTTGACTCTTCTTCTTCTTTACGTCATTGAATCCTTTGAGGTTAGAAGAAGCCAAACTTTGCTTTGTACCATCATGGACTGGTGAACCTCGATTCCACAATGAAGGCAATCATGCCCCTTGGTTGGCTAGTTTGCAAAAATTTCTCGAGAAGTTTAATTACAGTAGAGGTTCGAAATTGGTGGCCCACTGCGATAAGGTATCTTCCTTTTCAATATCACATTTATACGGTTCTCATCAATAAATGTTATCATACACATCTAACATTTTCACAAATTTCTACTATCTTTCTTGTTATGCTTTATCAAGAGCGTCGTCATTTATGAAAAGCCAAGGGAAATCTTTCTTCCGTGTCTATGATCTTAAACTTGATCCGGTGAAGTCATCAGTTACCCTTGAGAATCTTCTGGATTATATTTTACAAACATCTCGTCCAGCGACACTATCATCATTCTCAACTTCCAAGAGCGACCTCCCTGAGGTGTGATGCTCTTTGAAGCTAGAGGTTTCTATGTAACAAATTCTCTGGTTAGTAAACTTGTTTTATGGAACCGGAGCCATACTTTTACCTGTTTAACTTTTCTTTTTTCCCAAGTTACAGCTAGTGCGTAAGAAACCAATGGCAAGAGAGAAGGATCTCGGCTGCTGCACATATAATGTTGCCGCTAACAAATGCTGGCGGCACTTTCTGGATAAAATCGAAACTAAGGATCTTGTCAATGGCACAAGTATATCTGAATGGATTGCCCAGTTGATGCCATTTGAAGCTTTTAACGTTGATTGTTTTTAGATTAAATTGAAGCCCAGGAAAGGTGTTATTGAAGTGTAGGGTATTGTAGTTCTATACACCCTGAAGAAGAAGAAGAAGAAGAAGAAGAAGAAGAAGAAGAAGAAGAAGAAGAAGAAGAAGAAGAAGAAGAAGAAGAAGAAGGGTAAGCCAGCTGATTTAACAAGAAGAAGAAGGTCAAACGGTTGATCAAAGAGTTTCTTGCATGATCAAACGTGGTAAGTCAGCTGATTTAACATGTCACGTCAGTATTTCGTTACTGCAGTAACGTCTGTTAACGACAAATGTGTAATATCCTCAATACCGGGTTAGTGACCAAAGTGTGAAATTTTAAAATTCAATAACTAGATTAAATAAATTGAAAAGTGAAGGATTTAATTGAAAGATGTTGATGTAGGATTAATTAACAAATAAGGAGAAGTTAAGAGGACAAATGAGTCTTTTATCAAGGGAATAATTAAATATGGGTGGTGGGTATTTTATAACCCACGTGGAACCCATTTTTAGGAAACAAAAGTTTCCAGAGATTTCTCATTTTCATCTTCTTCATCTTCTTCTCCCAACCGTGAAGTACCCAAGCTAATATGAGTTGGATTTCTTTTGATTAATCCTTCAAATTAAAGTATGGTTTTGATTCATTAAGCTTTAGAAATAATAAGTTACGAAGGATTAAAAATGGGAAGTGGATAAGTGAAATTTTAAATAAGGATGTATAAATGGATTTAGAACTTGAATTTGACTTGTCATGGGTGTGAATAATAAGTTATAAGTGTTAGAAATAAGTTTGGATTACATGGAAATTTCGGTATGATTCTTAGTTTTAAGAATTTGAAGAAGATATGTGAAATTCTAAAGTGTTGGAATGATAAGAGTTAGTTAAAATGGTTGTAGTTGAGTTTAGTAGTATGAAAGGAGTTTTATACGAGGAATTTAATGAAAAATTGTGGAATTTTTTGGTGAAACCAGTTTATTATTGACATGTGCATCGATGCATTATGAATGGGCATCGATGCACTAAGACAAAATTGAAGGTGTATCGATGCATTAAGGGGTGCATCGATGCATAGGAATTTCGAACTTAATTTGTGTACCGATGCATCCATAGTGCATCGGTACACCCCTAAAGGAAAATTGAATTTTGGGTTCATTAAAGTAGTTCAAGTTATTAGTATCGAATTATAAGGTTTAGGCTTCTTATAATTGTCTTGAAAATTATAATTATGTAGATATCGAGCCAAAACGAGTTCCGGAACAAGTGACAAGTAAGATCAATCGAGGAAAATGCAAAGAAATATAGGTGAGTGCATATGCATAGCATAAATATAGTAGTATATTCAGTTCTAGACTTGTGATAAGTCTAGATTCAATATTTTGACACATGATCACATTCCATATTATGATACATGACATGAATTCATATTATATGTATTATGTGACATGAATATGCAGGAAAAGTTATATGAGCTATGAGATAAAGGTATGTAAATGATATGTCTATGTTATAAAGGTATGGAAATAATATGTCTACGCAATATGAACTATGTGAACTGTGAAAGCCCATGTTATGTAGATGAGAACTATAGGTATAGTTGGCATGCCAAGAGTAGAGAGTCTACGCGGTCCTTCGGGACAAAATTCTACGTGTTCCTTCGGGACATATATATATTCTTTGGAACATGTATGAGGTCTTTTGAGACACCTATTTGATCATTGGTATATGTATATGATTATTAAGGAATTTCTATGTGGTCCTTAGGGACATATTATATGGCACTATGGTACAATTCTACATGGCACTTCGGTGCATTTTTACGCGGTCCTTCGGGACAAATTCTACGTGGCACTTCGGTGCAAATTTATACGAGCTGTGGTGACAGCATATTGCACAACCTCATAGTACTCACATACCTCGGGTTCTCAGTATTATATCATGGGCTATTGATTCTATTGAACTTATTATATGAATTCATGATGGTTAATTGATCAAATAATGGGTAAGATACATGATTATGCAAATTGCGTAGATTGAATATATGATTTCGTGATATTGCATTTCATTATGATATTTTTATTATATTTTATTTTCATTATTATTATGCCTCACCAAGTCTATGACTTAGCGTGTAAGTGTTTTACACTTAGGTACCGAAAATCAGAGATATCTATTATAAGCTCAGCAGAACAACATAACTCCCCTTTAAGGTCAGATCAAAAGTAAATTAAATAGTATGTATTATTATGTGAAAATAGGTTGGCATATAAACAAAGTCAGTAAATTAAGTATTTATGCTCTGATCGAGTTATGTAACGTTTTAAACGTAATTATGTAAATTAAATGCATAGTAATGAACAGTTAAATTTTTACGAGTTTTATGTACATTTTTTGAAAATCACTATAGCAGTGCATCGATGCACAATTTTGCTTCAAAGTTTTATGCATTGGTGCACTGTAGCAATGCATCGATGCTCTGTAGCACTGTAACACTATTCATGGCACTGTAGCACTGTTTACAGTACTGTTCATAAAATGTATATTTTCTTAAATTGGTTATAACGAGCATAATTCAATAATATATTATCATATTTTCTTAATTTGAGTTAAAATATTTTGTTATTTTGTAAGAAAATTGTTTTAAAAAGTTAATGTGACATCTCGGACTCGTATCCGGGTCGGATACAGGTTGGAGTGTTACATTTAATGGTATCAGAGCTAAGGTTTAGTCGATTCTCGGCATAAATCGAAGTCTAGAGTGTTTTATAATGTATACATGCTAACAAAATAGTGAAAACTTCTGATCTGGTGTAGTATGAAGTATAATGTTTTGCTAATAGAATGATATTGTTGTGTCTTCATAGATGTCCGGACATGATAGTTCTCGAAGTCAAGCGGGAGATGATCGACCCGCTGAAAGTAGTAATTCACCTGCCCTGGCCAGGAAAGGTGAAGAACATATACCTTCTGGAGTGCCTGTAGCTTATCAAGATGTGTTTTTTAGAACATTAGATGTGGTATTGACACATTTCCAACCTTCTGCTCCATCAACTCCTAGAGTAAATGTAGCAAAGGAGTTGAGAGGATTAGGAGCTCCCGAATTTAAGGGAGAAGCCGAGGAAGGTCCGGTTGCGGCGGATCTTTGGTTAAATGATTTTAAAATTATGTTGGATGGTCTCCATTGTGCTGATGTGGAGAAGTTGGATGGAACTGTGTCTTTACTTAGAGAACAAGCTAGAATATGGTGGACGAATGTCACCATGAGAATGTCAAGTGATCAAGTAACTTGGTCTCTATTTTTAGAAGAGTTTAAGCATAAATATATTGGAGATCAATTCATCAAACAAATGAAGCAGGAGTTTATAAACTTGAAACATATGAATCGCTCAGTATACAAATACGAATGTGAGTTTAATAAACTGAGTCAATTTGTAGCTGAGCTTGTTACTACGGAGAAAGATGCTTGTGAATGGTTTGTGGAGGGCTTGCACCCTTGGTGGGTGTCGAATCCAACAAATAATAATACTTGCTTTTTAGAAATATAAATTGTAGTAGTGATAAGCAAGGTCGAATCCACAGGGATTGGGTAGACTTATTTTAATGAAAACTAAAGCAAGGAAAAATGGGTTTTTTGAAATTGAGAAAAATAAAGACAAAAAGCAATTATAATAAACTAAGAATTTAGAGAAATTAATATTAAGGAAATATCCAACTAAAGGTATAATTTCATAATTGATTCAGAGAATTGATCATATATGCAATAATAAAATCTTCTACTTTTCACTAAATTGGTTATGGTTATTGAGAAGCTCTAACAACCTGTCTCTCCTTAGTTTCTCGATAATCAAGAGAAGCTCTTTGATTATTTCCCTAGTTAATGAATAACCCTAGACAAGCTCTTAATATTTAATCCACCAACAGCATTAATCACTAGAGGGACCACCAATTCTAGCCAACAAATACGCAAGCTCGATTCATTTAGACTAGGTTATATACCTTCATAACATAATCATAATCAACCATGTTACTTTACCACTAATATTAGAACATTTAAACAATTACGAATTTAAAGTTCTAAATGACAATTTATTAACCTGATAATTGAACAACGGATCCTTTACACAATCAATCAAGACAATAATTCTTAATAAAAACAGAATATATATAAATAGTAAAGAAGTAAAAGAATAATGAAAATTATTTAGATCTCACAATCCTTGAAGAACCAAAACTTCAATTATCCTTCAGTTGGAACAAAAGTATTTAGCTACTCATAATTGAAAAAAAACTAAAAGAAAATAAAGATGAAAACTTAATGTAAAACTTGATTATCCACTAATGAAAGCCCTAGCTCCCCTTTTATAAGGATTTTCCTATTATAGATAAGGAAGTTTCCCTTAAAGAAAATCCCACAAAAATAGGAGTTTTAAATGCCATCATCTTTTTCTAAAGATAAGAATAAATTAAAAGAGTCTTCCAGCCGTCATTAAACTCTTTTTCCTTTGTAAATTTGTAGCCCTAATTTAGGGTTACACGGACTAGTAAGGCGCGCCCACGCCTTAACTGAAGACTTTTTCTGCGATAGTTCAGGATGAATAAGCCGTGCCCACGCCTTATGCGAAAACCTCTTCTGGTCTTGCCAACTTCTTGAATTCCGATTTTTCCTCCTTAATTTGGGGATTTTGTGAAGATCATGCTAATCATTAGATTTTGAACTTGTTTTATCTAAATCTTTAACCTAATCCACAAAATACGAAATATAATCAAAATCCATGATTTAAGCAATTTTAGTTATTCAAATATGAGGAAAATATCATAGAATATATGTCTAATATGCATCTTATCAAATTCCCCCACACTTAAACCAATGATTGTCCTCAAGCATACAATAGTTCAAATTCATAACTCTTCTCAACACCAATCCTTCTTCTTCCTTTGCTCATCCTTTCACAATCAAAATTGTCATGCCTTAAAGAATCAAATCTAAACATAAGTAAGGAACGAGCAATTC